TTTGATTAAATCTTAAATAAACTTGAGGGGTGGCATGAGCAATATGCTGTTTTTATGCAAATTATCGGAGCGTCATCGGCCAATCAGGAATGAGCCGGACAAGGTATGGAATTAATTTTTCTAAGTTTCCATAAAATTTAGTAAATTTTTGCCTAATTTTTCTAAACACTCATTTTAAAGATGCGTACGAGGAAAAACTCGGGCTTTGTGGTATGGGTTTCCCTAAGGGAATGGCGCGTATGCGACATGCAACGCGCGACGCTCTCTGTCCCGAAAAAACTATCGTAATTCATTAGGCAATGCGATGCAAGGCGAACGTAGGCGTTGCGTGTTGCTATCCGGGCGGATATACTGAATCCATAGCCTCAGGTCTGGGCGACCCCTTTAAAGCGCACGTTCAGGGAGGGGCCGTGTACTCGTCCCAACGTGTACACCCTATCGACGTAGGGACCGCGCGCACTGCCTGCCCGTGCCGTGGCAGGCAATTTCTCTCCTTTGCGGCGTGGGGCGCCCCTCATCCCCTAGCCAGGTTGTAGCTGTGGCTGACTGGTATGCATCCGCGCCTCCCGAGCGGAGGGCCCGGGTTCGACCCCCAGCCCCGGCAAAAATCTTTGCTTTTTTCCAAAAAAAACCTCCCTGAACGTGCCCTTTAAAGCATGTAACGCCTAGCCTTGGTTTTCGGATCAGACTTTCGGATTAAGATCAAGCTTTTCAGGTCCTACTCCGCGTTTATTTCAACCCGGAAACGGAATCTCACCTGGTCGCCGAATCGGTGATCTTCACCTTGCTATCGGAAAGGCATCTGGGCCCAAAGTTGTACGGCATCTTCTCGGGAGGTCGATTGGAGGAGTACATTCCGGTAGGCTCCAAAACACGGATATTTTCCAAGAACAAATTTTTCAGTCTCGCCCTCTGTCCTGCAGAGAGATCTCGCTCCCACACATGTCTGGAAAAATTGCCAAGCGGCTGGCCAAAGTGCATACATTGGAGGTGCCGATCTGGAAGGAGCCCGACTATTTGTGTGATGCTCTTGATAGGTGAGAGAGAGAAAGAGAGAGAGTGACAGCGAGAGAGAAAGAACTAGAGAGAGAGCGAGAGAGAGAGAGAGCGAGAGAGAGAAATAGAGAGAGAGAGAGAGAGAGAGAGAGAGAGAGAGAGAGAGAGAGAGAGAGAGAGAGATAACGCTTTTTCAGATGGCTATACCAACTAATGCAGACCCCATCCGGCGATTCTACCTTCGAGCTCAGCGAGGAGTTCAACAGCTACATCCCCGAGCCAATCACCTGCCAAACGTTAAGCCGGGAATTTGACTATTTAAGGTATTTAAACTAACCGTACTGACGGTTCGGAAATATACCTAAAATTCAATTTTTTTTTTGTCGTTCACCGCCAGCCTGTGCTTCCCAGAAGATATCGCGCACTATTTTTGAGATACCTAGTAAATCCCAGTCACCTCAAATGCCATATTTTTCAGCCGGTATCACCTGAAATCATAAGCTCAATCCGGACCACCCAATATGATCCGCTTCCCCGCCCGTAAATACCCGCTTTGACCGCATAAATCCCGAAAAACAAGGATTTCCCTAGGATTTCCCATCAACCAAATGGAATGATGCTATTCAACCATCCGAAAATGGGGCTTAGCGACTTTCGCCTTACGCTAATACAGGGTTGTAGCGATGAAAACTTTTCGCAAAATTGCTGACACGTATTGGGGGATTTTTGCGAAATTTTGTAGAAAACAAACGTGCAAAATCAAGACAACATTTTCGAGGTGGGATACACAAAAAACTTATGAGGAATCTGGGCTTGTGAGCACTCTAAAAATTAATAAAATTGAATTTAGAATACAACTCTCGAAGTCTAAGTCAACAGTTGCTTTCTGCCACAATGATCTCCAGGAAGGGAATATCTTGCTGCCCAAAGCCTCCTCAGGAAATATTCGACTGCCATCACTTTCTGATGAATTTGAGAACGGTAAGAAAGAGCGAGAGAGAAAAACAGAGATATCCAGAGAAAGAGACCAAAATACCGATCCTAAATTTTGTAGGTCCAACGAACACGCTATCAGCCTTCAACCCCGCGGATCCGCGCCTGGTCCTGATCGATTTCGAATATGCCAGCTATAATTATAGGTGAATTTTGCCAGCATTTAAAACACTGGCACGTAGAATTCCGACAGCAAAAATATCGATCAGAAAAAATGCCGGCAGCCAAACTACCGACGCGCATGCGCTTGAGTTAACGTGTACATTTGCCAAAAAAGATCACCCTGCGCCAACGCGTCGTCGGTATTTTAGCTTATCGGCATTTTAGTTTGCGGCGGTTGCTTGTCGGCATTTTTTCGATCATCTGATTGAATTATAGGTATCGAATTCTCAAAAGCTATTTTAAAAACCCCCGTTTCAAATTCTCAATGCAGTTTTGGTCCGCCATCGACTACCGAGAAACTCCACGTGTCCAAAATTCTCATCCGCACATCCCCTGAAAATCATCTCTGAGGCACGTGAAAATCCATATTTTTGGGCAAACAGTCCATCTGCAAATGGACAGGGCATTTCCATTAGCACCCGTTACGCAATCGGCGAGCTTTTCGCTCTCATGACCTCAGCAAAAGGCTGATCTTCCAGGGGCTTCGACTTTGCCAATCATTTCGTTGAGTGGTCCATCGATTACGACTGTGGCGAGGCCCCGTTTTATACGGTAAGTGATGCATTCCGGGCTGTCGAGTACCAAGCTATATATTCATCTCTAAAATTGTCATCTCCACCGGATTTTCTGCCGCCGATTTTCCGAATGACAGATTTGCGCTAAAGTAGGGTTTAGAGCACGAGGGGACAACACCAAAATAAGCAAGATTTTTGAAAATAATCACCCGTCCTTTCCAGATGGACGAGCAGAAGATGCCGCGTCCCGAGCAGATGCTGCAGTTTTTCCAGAATTACATCAGGGAGTACGGTGGAACGGTTGAAGCGGAAATACCGGCAAAGGCCGAGGCGATGCTCAGAGTACGTTCGAGTATTCATATACACGAAGTGATAGAGCTTAGGAAGTCCCTAAGTAGTCCATTGTACTGGTTTCGCGCTCTCACTCGCTTTCTCTCTCTCACTCTCTCTCTACCTCCTTCTACCGCTCTCCGATTAATTGGCAACACTCATTTAATTTTTTCTCTAGCTCCTACACTCTCTCGATCTCTGTGGCGGTATCTCTCTCTCTCTACCCCCCCCCCCCCCTCTCTCTCTCTCTCTCTCTCTCTCTCTCCTCTCTCTCTCTCTCTCTCTGCTCTCGCTCTCTTTCGCTTTGTTCCATTTAGGATAATCATCAAAAATTAAATTCTTAGCACTTCATTTTAGGAAACCCTCCCCTTCATCCCGATTTCCCACTTCTTCTGGGGTGTCTGGGCCCTGCTCCAATTCGAAGTCTCGCCAGTCGGCTTTGGATTTGCGGTACGTACCCGGATCTCGGCTTTTATTCCGCTTTAGGACTATGCCCGGGACCGGCTCGGCCTTTACTACAAGAACAAACACTTGACGAATGGGTTCGACGCCTGAAGCAATATTTGGGTGAAGCAATATTCAAATTATTTGGTGCCTATAATCCTTAAGTTAAATGAAAAATTTTGAAATTGGAAGTGGGATTGAAATGTAATTTTGAAAACACATTTTAGAACCGCAGTTTTCATCGATTACGTCGTGCATTAAAAATATATTTTAATGGATCCTGTTATTTAATTCCAAAAATAGAACTTGGTTATGAATATATTCTTTTGAAATATTATTTGACTTTAAAAATCTTGCTAAACCCATTTTTTTGATAGAATACGGTAAGCGTTTCGATACTAAAGCGATTATTACGTTCGTCTGTAGTCTGTAGTCCTGTTTTTTAGCATTTTATGGGTGTCCTCAGTTCCAGGCAATATGCTTCCAAACATTGTTGTTTCACTATTTATTCAAGTGACTATTAAATCCAAAAATCAATAATTCAATGACGAAAATCATAATAGTATATGTAAGCACAATCATTTGCTAGAAAGAATCGTAATTTTGAGTATGGTGTTTTTGAGGTTTTTAAAGGGATTGTGAAGTCCGGGCAGAACGTCTGGACTATATATTTTGACTTCACAGGCCCCTTAAACCCCTCAAAACCCCCAAATACAATGACGGAATGATGTGTACAGATGCGGAATGTCTTTTTGTATGTTGTGATCCGGTGGAATGATAATAAAGGAACCAAAAACGGGGGGAGATTAGCTGAAAGTACGCACGACACCCACCGGACACCGCATGAATGAATAGCTGTGTGGGTGGGCGGTAAAAAGATGGCTTTTTGTATCCAATCTGAAGGGGGAGTTTGGGGCGGCGGATTATCGCGGAATGACGCTCGGAAAGGCACACGGCGGCTTGGATCGGAAAAATGAAGAACAAAGCGAAAAAAGCAAAAAATACGGTAAGTCAATGGGATAAAAAAAATACAATGAATTGTGTGTGTTTTGCAGTGGGGTACCCATGGCGGTGTAAAGGATTGCAGCTAGCGGAATGTGTGTGTGGGTATTTGGGTGGAAGATCACGGTGGAATTGGGTGTATAACGGAGTTTGTGGCCGTTGGCCAAATTCTGGGGGAAAGAACGGAATGTAGCCTGTAGCCTCTAGTCTTGGGATTTTTGGGAATAGCGATAAAGATACAATTTGGGTATTAAAAGGGTTTAAAAAGAGTCAGTAACTAAAAAAAACGAAAATTTAGTCGGAAATCGACCAGAAACGTAGTTCGGCTCAGGCTTAGGCCTTGCTTAGGCTTGGCTTGGGCTTGGCATAACTTGGCATAAGCTTGGCTTAGGCTTGGCTTAGTCTTGGCGTAGGCTTAGGCTTAGTCTTGGCTTAGGCTTAGTCTCAGGCTTTGCTTGGGCTTTGCTTAGGCTTAGGTTACTGACTCCACCCATCGATTTTTAGGTTTCATTTGAACCCGGTATTTACAGGATAGCTTAGCGATTTGACCGCGCATTAATGGAGATGCTGCACAATTCCTTGGCTCTGCATCAGCCCCTCCAGAATCGCCTTCATCTTGGCGGCCTCGGGATTCATGAACGGGAGCGGGAAGGGGAGTTGGGGCGGCTGAAAACGAAGAATTAGAAGATGATCATCTACAGTAACCTTTAGGATCCGAAATTTTGGTATTGCATTGCGCTACGATTCAAATACCTACTCGCTGTTGCTGCTGTTGCACTTCATTTTGCCGAACGATCTGGTTTGAAAGGAGGCCGATCGTTGATTGCAGCTCGGCGATCCTGGCTTCAAGGAGTTTAGCTCGTTCTTCCGTGGCTGCGGACTTGGAGATGTTCATCTAAAGCAAGGAAGATTAGCATCGTCTTCGAGGTACAAACGACTCAAACTAATTTAAAAACGATGAAAAGGTTTTGGCATCCATTATTATCATCTTCAAGGAGTTCGGTCGGTTAGCTAGCCAACTGGGACCCCGCTTAGTGATTCATGTCTCACTCCCTTTAAAAGCCCTTACTTCGCACTGGAAGCACTTGTTCTCCAAGCACGTGTCCATGCTCGCGCCGCTGGAGTGAGAATCAGACGCCGTCGGGGAGTGCTGGCTCGACATCGGGGAGACGAGCGATTTTTCGGCCATTTGAGGCGTCAGGCCACCCTGCAAAGACCGAATTAAAACGGTAAAAATTTATGCTAATTTCGGGCCATAAAAATAACAGTGGAAGGGCTTTATAATGTTCTTTAAAAATCTACCGTATGCTCAATGACTCCCAGAACTCGAGGCTTCAAGTCTTCAGGGCTCATCGATTGCTTCAGTTGGAGAGCAGACAAATCGGCGCCAACATTCGAATTCGGTGTTGCGTTCTAAAATTTGGAGATGATAATTTTTTCCAAGACTCTCTCGCTCTTGCTTTCTTGCTCTCTCTCTCTCTCTCGCTCTCTCGGTCTATCTCTCTCATCTCTAAACCCGCTCAAAAGCTCACCCCAGACGAGCTGGTGTAGCCCTCCTCTTCCTCATTATTGATCTCGATCGCCTCGTCAAAGTCGCTCATTTTATCTTCGATACTCGACGCGTCACATTTGGAGTCGGCAGAGCTGGCGAGGAGCGGGCTGCCGCTTGCCGCTTGGAGCATTTGGAGCTGCTGCGCGAAGGGGTTGTTGGTCAGCCAGCTGGCGAGCCATTGGCTGTTTAGGGCGCCGGAGACTGGGACCTGGGGCATCGGGGTGGAGAGCTGGGCCTGAAAATTTCGGGGTTAAGCGGACTTAACGAGCAGAAATGTCGTTTAGTACGATGCAGTACGATTTCCTTTGTACTCTCCCGTGCCCTGGAATCGCTACCGTACGTCTTAATTAGATTTAAACGTTAAATCACACGCCTGGTTGTTTCGCAGACTTTACGGTACTTGCTAGTATGTCTGAGTACAGCAGAGTACGTTACAGTTGCTATGGCACGCTACGCTACAGTATGTCCATTACGCAACACAAAGCTACGGTGCGAAATGGCAGTTTTGTTCACAGTACCCCTGCGTAGGTTACGGTTTACTTAAGTACTTTACGATACGTTACAGTACGCTGGGGCGCACCATAAAAATTGGTGATTTTTTTACCCACCTGTGCCTTCAACCGCGCCATCAAGAAGTCCTGAGGACCAAGTGGGAAGAGCTTGGGTACCGGAAGTGCTGGGGCTCTCGGTAAACTGCCAAAGCTCAACGGGCTTCCAGAGTTGAGGATCGAGCAGTCGATCGGGTCTTAAAACCAATTAAAAAGATATTTAAGTATTTTTTACCTCCTTCCGTGTTGCTCCTCGCCAACACCGGGACGTCACCGGGGAGGTTGTTGCGCAGCATGCTCTGCGTATGGGTGTGGAGGCTCGTTTTATCCGGAAACGCCCAGTTGCAGCACCTGGAAAGGGCAAATTTGAACAATTTCTTTTATATAGACTATTTTATGTATTTAAAGGCAGGGGATAAATTATTTAAAAGGGATTACACAAGCTTAAAAAACCGAAAAATTCTATTTTTAGGTTTTTCGCCCGATTTCCTTGTTTTATTTTGTACTAAATTTTCTAGAATGCACCTGCCGCTACCGTATTTTTCTACCATAGATAATGTTTACTTAAAAAGACCGCAAAAAAACTTTAGCCATCAATGAATTAAATTTTTAGCGTATTTAGTGCATTCGACACCGTATTTGGTGGTTTTTCTATACAGCAATTTCCGATAAACTAAAGTTTACTAAGATCGACTACCGTATTTCCCAATTTCTAAACCCCCCCCCGCTAATCCCCTCGGAGGTATAGCTAACAGCTGCGACTTGACTCCACAGGCCCACACCAAAATCAGGTGCTTCCTACCGGAAGCTAGCCACTTCCCGCCGGGTACTCCCCCAGGGCTTCTAATCGGTGTCGTCACCCGAGCCTTGTAAAGAAATACACATCTCTTTGCCGTTTTTGTCTATGCGGCCGGGCCCACAATACCCATTTTGGGGGAGGGGGGTGAAGCCACTTTCCCCTACCGGATTAGCCATATTCTTTGAGGATTCATTGTTTTGGCCGGAGGGGCAAGGCAGGGGTGAGGCTTTGGGAAATGAGATATTTTCTGGAGGACTGGATGAAAAAGCCATTGAGCTGCCTATGCGGTATGGTCATTGCATCTCGGGGTTATGGAAAGCGGTTTAGACTTAGGCTTAGGCTTAGGCTTAGGCTTAGGCTTAGGTTTTGGGTTAGGCTTAGGCGTAGGCGTAGACATCTGACTAGGCCTAGGCTTAAGGCTTTCAGGCTTAAGCACCTTAAGCTTGGGTTCAGGCTTAGGCTTCGACTTAAGCTACGCTTAAACTTAGGCTTAAGCTTGAGCTGTACTTACGCCTATGCTCACCCGTAGGCTTAGGCTTAAGCTTCGCGTAGGCTAAGGCGTAGCTCAAGCGTAACTTAAACCTGAGCTTAATCTTGTAGTCACACCAATTAAAAATTAGGCTAAACTCTAGTTTACCCCAGCCGTAACTTTTCAGCCATACTTCCTATTAATGCGCCGAGTATCTCAAAATGTTCCACGTGGTCGAATTACTATAAAAAAGTTGTTTTCTTACATCCAAAATTGTTAGAAAAATTTTTATAACAATTATAAGTCTGGGTTTTCTTTAGTTAATTTTTGCTGGTCCAAAGTGAGTTTGCGTATCTCGGCTATCTTTAGTCGTACAGAGCTGTCAATGGTACCAAAATGTAGCTCTTGCTCTGGAGAATAAGCCTACAGTACGTTTGAGTCGAAAAAAATAGCGGAAAATAAAAATATTTGAGTTTTAGTCTCCTGGTACATTGAAGCACAGCGGCTTAATATTTTCAACTTTCAAAATCTTGTAAAAAAATTTCTAGCAATTTTTGCCGCAAGAAAACAACTGTTTTATAGTAATTCGACCACGGCGAACATTTTGAGATACTCCGCGCATTAATAGGACGTATGGTTGAAAAGTTAGGGCTGGGGGGGGTAAACTAGAGTCTTACCAAAAATTATCCCTTACCGGCACATGAACATCCTTGAAATCGAGTGCACGCGGAACATGTGCGATCGGAGCGTCTCATTAGCTGAAAAATCACGATTAAAATGCGCCGTGATCCGAAACATTAGCCGAAATTTCCTCTGTAATCTTGACCCCCAGCCACAATTCTTGCAACCTTTCCCGTGTTCACCAGCGGCTTATCCAGCGCGCCGACCGCTCGGGAATGACCTTGCCGGGCGGCTAATGCTGTGCGGAATTGCACGAACGCGAAAAAATTCGGCAAATCGTCGGTCGCCCGGCTGCTTCTTTCCGGCTCCGGCTTTCCGGAACAAATCCCTGCCCTGTGCTTGGATAGGAATTGACCTTTTCCCCCATTGCATTTCTTGTTCTCCTTTTCTTATTTGAGTTTCTCTCTTGGGAGGTCTATGTCTTATCGTGGGGGTCAGTGGTAGAGCCGGTCGGGTATGCTTGCCCTGGATCCGAGAAAAAAGCTACTTTTTACGGGTAATATGATATGCTTTTGGCGACGATGAACGAAACTGGCCGGAAAAATTTAGCAAGAAAAATTAAAAATAAAATTGTTGGAGTATGGAAAAACTTTCAAAATTCCAGAATTATGTTTAAAAAATAAAACTGGCCTACTAAAATTAATCAAAAACGTCGAAGCACTTCTTACCCGCCCCACCCCCAAAACATGACCCAGCTACCGTAATCCGGGTTCGCGCACTCGAGGCGATAGAATTTGCATACGGTGCCCAGGCGGGGGTGTCAACCTCTATTAGCCTGTATTTAAATATTTGCTAGTGGCCTATCTCGTCTGAACGGTGGCTGGATATACAAGGTGTTAAGATTATGTCCCTCGATAGGAGGTATTGGGCCCATATTTGCATCCCATCTTAGGGTGGGGACAACTTGGCCTCGGGGCATGTTGCTCCCTCTCTCACTTCTCTCTCTCTCTCTCTCTCTCTCTCTCTCTCTCTCTCTCTCTCTATCTCTCTCTCTCTCTCGCTCGCTCTCTCGCACTATCTCTCTCCCTCTCGCTCTCTCGTTCTTTCTCTCTCTCGCTCCCTGTCTCCAGATGCAAAGTGCCCCCAGGCATTGTCTCCCACCCGGGTAGTCAACCCCTTTAATGGATGCATATCTACAGTCAATTAAAGGGCGCCCCCGCAAAGGTCAATGTTTGTTGGGGGCATGAAAAGACAAGGTATCCGCTCAATAGCATACCCATACAACTAACGACTCGCGGGGCCAAATGACAATATGCAAATGCAGGGGAAGGGGCCGGCACTTCCGGCTGGCAGGCTACGGTCAAGTGCTTTCTTTTCTATTCAGGTTTTTCTTTCAAAAGAACGGCTACGTGGAGTGGAGTGTAGCAGAATTAAATGGAGGAATTTTGCTTGAATAGTGACGATATGTAATCAGGGTAATTTGCATATCCAGAGAGGCTTTTGTTATTTCTATTTGCTCCGTAGAAAAACATTTCCAAAGCAGCGTTTTTGCCGAACGAGTTACGCCATAAAATATGAAGTTATTTTAATGTGTTATAATAAGTTTTTTTCCAGTTTTTTTATTCCACTAAACTACAAGGATTTTCCACACAACTTAGTTTCCGAGTTGGGTCCAACAAGTTTACGCTACTATGGTTTCCGAGGCTCGAACAATAACGAAAAATCCCGCGATCAGGTTCTCTACCAGAGATCACATCGCCCCAAATTTTATCCAGGGCCGCGTCAGCTGATTACATTGTGTTTTAATACCCTCTGATACTCGGCGAAAACCTATCGGGTACCGAAAATTACCTCTGACTTCGGGAAGTTAAGGGGAACACGCGGACGCGCCCGACAACTTGCCATTTTCAGGACTCCGGCCGATTTCCCCGAAATGAGCGTCACCAATTCTACGTACGTCTGTCTGTCTGTGTCGTTGGGTGTCTGTCTGCCTACGGCTTCTCCACTCTGGTGTTCGGAACCTACTCGATATCTCGGTGTTGCACTGGGTGCACACATAGCTCTTGAAGTGGGCCTGCATACGGTGGCGGCTGAGGGAGCTCGAGTGGCAGAAGACTTTGCCACAGACGGAGCACGGGAAATTCCCTGAAAAAAGTGGATCTCGATGAGTGTCACGGCGTCTTTAAAAATTTAAATGGCTCCATAAAAGCCTTTAAAAGGGACTTAAAGCTAAAATTCGACGCTTTGTGGCCCCTTTAAAAACTCAAAAAATTACCTGAGACTTGTTTTATTTTTAGGGGGTCAAAAGTTAAATTTTTACTTCAAAACCAGCAAGCCAGTCGCCACCCTTCTCTTGCAAACACGTTCGGTCAGGATTTAAGGTTTTTTTAGAAGCCAAAATAGACTTTTCGATTGAAAAATTAAGTGTGAATGTCCCTTGAAAACGCGTGGCAAACCTTTAGAAATTTTTAAAGGGCGAACAGATCTTAACTTTTAACAAAACAACTTAAAATGCCCTTAATCAGATTTTGGTTAATTCCTTTAGCTGGCACCATCCCTTTAAAAGCTCTTTAGCATCCAGTGACGGTATCAAAATAAATTTTGGTTTTGATAGATCGACTTGGCCAGTTTCCAGCTCACCCCACGATATTCGGCCAACTGTCTCGCCATGCCCGTATTGTTTTTACATGGCATTCGACCCAGACTCGCGGACCCCAAATTGAAAAAAACCGGTTATGATGAGAGCCCCGACCTGGTGAGAGAGATAGAAAGAGTGAAAGAGACAGAGGGAGAGAGGGAGAGAGCGAGGGAGAGAGACTAAAAACAGTTTTATGTAATTTTTTTCGCATCTTTTTTTGTATGGGAAGCCATGCGGCCAGACCAGGGCCCAAATCAACCGCGCGAAATGATGGGATTTGGGGGAGGGATTAGCCGAGGATATTAGCTATTTGGAATGAGATGGATGACTTTCAGGGATGCGTCGCAGTGGTTACGGTAGCTTTATTGAGCTATAAAGATTCAAAATGGGAACTGAACAGGCTCCTACAATCTCGAAAACGAAAAACTCGTCTACAGTAATTACGTCAAAATATAAAAATGGGATCAAGCATTTTCAAAGAGACAAATAAAACCTAAAATTTGGTTCCGAGCATCTAAAAAAATTCCCATTACCCTGCAAAATTTTAATGAATAAATTTTTGACTGATTCAATTGCTAAATTTTTAACCGAATTGGCTAAGAAAACCCTCTTTAAATTCGATTTTCTAGCGGTTTTTGAGCTATTTATTTCTTAAAAATTTTCCCTCTATCTCCTTCTGTCTATTTTCATGGAATTTCAACCCGATTATGACAAGCTTCCGTCCGTCCGGTCCCCGCATCCGGTGCTGCGGGCCGCAGCGGTAGCGCACCGGATACAGTACTGCTCCGCACTGATTTTCACCGAACTCCACCCGCGGCTTAAGCGACTTATAGATGGGCTTAGGCATCCGGTAGCGACCCGTGAGCTAATGGGTCGAATTTCCGGTTTCCGGCATGATTTCGGGCCGCCGGAAAGGGTCCGGAAGGGAGTAGGATCGCGCAAACACCCAGAGATCCGTCTGTGTCCCGGGTTGGGTGCCCTCCGGAAAGCTACAGTAATCCCGAAAGGGGACGAAAATCCGGGAAGATGATTGAAAAGCTACCGGGTGGGTTTAGGGGGTTAGGTGGAGGTGGAAAACAAATTTTAGGAGGTCCGGAAAGTCCTTATCCGGAATTTCAAAGCCGGTAAGCCGCTGCTGGGGTTTAGTTAGAGGTTTAGTTTTTAAAGAACAAGATACTTTGATGATTGGAAAGAAAACGAAAAATTTACTGGAAAGCGGAAAAGCGGATTTTGTAAAGTCATCGAATTTTTTAGAAATTTTGAAAATTTTAGGATTTAAAATTGCTGCAATTCCTAAAATTTTTCATTGATTAAGTTCAGAGTTCTGTTTTTGAAAGTTATGCAAATAATGATAACAATTTAAAGAAAGTTGAAGAAGACTAAAATTCAATTTTTGTAGTTGTAAACCCGTACTTTGAAGTTGGTTTTTAAGCGATTACGGTAGAATCGCCAGGTTTTAGATTTTTCCGTGCTAATTTTCAATTTTTTTTGAAAAATTTTTGAGCTCGTTCTCCCTGATTTCAAGCTTCAAAGCATCAAATTCCCCGAATTCCAAGATGCTACAAATTCCAGCGAACCCCCGTGAGACACCAAAATCCTAGATTACCGCCGCACTAATGGCCCGATTTCCGGCTTAACACCGGGTTCGGGCCCGAAGAGCCGGCCGGAGCTCTAACCCCCCGTATCGGTAAAGCCGGATGTGAGCTACTTAGCCGTCGTATCCGGTGTGTATAGGTGTGTGGATATGGGGGATCTTCCTCCAAACACCCCGGTTTTCGAGGTAAGTAAGTAGTAGATGGAATTAAAATCATGGCAAATTTAAAATCCATGGCAAAGCACCGTACCTTTCAAATCTGGTCGCTTGAGCTCGGCTCGGTAGGGCATCGCGTCCTGTCGGATGTCAATTGTGGCGGAGCGGGGCTGGAAGAGGATGGTAATTTTTTAGAAAAAATAGAGGCAAAAAGATCGGTGAAAACATCGGCAAAAATGGGATGATTCGAAAGCGGAAAGTACCATGAAAAAGGGGAAAATTTGATAAATATATCAGAAAAATTATATCAAAACCAAGCTAAATTCAGCTGAACCTCGGCTACTCAGCTAAGCGGCTTCCAAACCAAGCCAAGCCTCGATTTCCACAAATAGAAATTCCAACGCCGGTATCACGCCTTTATCATCCAACCAGCCAGCCGGCCGACTAGACGCGGAAGGCCGAAATGACGGCAATACCCAGGGTATCCAGCCGGAAAGTGCGACTGTAAAGTGTAGTCGTGCGTACTGTCCACCCCCCCGGATCTATCTGGCTAACGAGCTTTGTTTTTGCCGCGTTTCCTTCCTGGGCATTTCGTCGAAATCCATGAAATATAACGGGAAAGAGACGCCCTAAAAATAAGGGGTTCCTTCCCGATACGCTCCACTGGCCCCAGCCGATTACCGTAGTAGCAGCGAGGTGCGGGACTGGGCTATGGTGTATATGCGAAGGTGGGTGGGGGGCGTAGCCGGAAAATATTTTCGGCTTTTGGCACCTCCCTCATATATCCCCTAGGGGCATCCATCCCCCTGAATTCCGGCAAATTTTCAAAAGCGGAAATGGGCGCTAATTTGGTGGGGGGTGGGGATGGGTAAATAGCAAAAGCGAAACTAGCGTAAATAGGCAATGAAAACGGGGCTACGGTAGCGGGCTTATTTTTCGGGGGGTGTCTTTTAGGAATTTTCTGGGGGTCTCTGGGGTTTTGAGAATGATATTACGGTTTTGGGGTTGGGGGGGCACTTTAAATTCTCATGCTGCTTACCTAAGGTGCCACCTGACACCTGCCCTACCGTAACAACAGGAAGTTAGGATTAAAGGTGGGGGCGATTAAAACCGTTTTTCGGTGTAGATGATGTTGATGTGGTATAAATGGTCATAATCGCGTCGGGAAGGACGATATGTGGAACACAGCCGGAAAGGGTAAGGGCAGGTGCGTGGGAGGTCAGAAGTGTGAAAATTGAGCTGGCGCGGCTACGCAAAGCCCTAAAAATTTTAAGGTTTTGATGTTTTGGGAAGTTTCAAATGTTCAGTAGCCCCACAACTGGCTTCAATTTTTTAAAGTAATGCTTTGAAACGCAATCGGCTTCCCGAACTTGAGTTGGAACGCCGGAGTTCGAACTCCTCGCTTTCGAGACATTCAGTGATCACGAAGTGATACGATAAAGCTACGGTTGGGTAAGGTAAGAAAGTTAAGTTCAGCAAGAATAAATTTGGGGCTTTAGAAGACCGGTCAGGTCAGAAGCGTAAAATACGTAGGCTGAAACGGTCAAAAAACGTACAATTCCAAAGATTTAAGCCCGAAAATGCTTGGTTTCAGTGCTTCAGGGACGAGCCGAAGTCGGAAGCAACTCTCATTGGTCAGGTAGATACAGACGAAAAAGAAAAAGGCTTCGAGCTCAGAGCTCCCGAAGTAACCTCAAGCCGACGCTGTAGAAGTTTGGACCCCAAGGGCCCCAACCCCAAGTGTCGGTATTGCCAGCTAGACTGGCCACCCTGGCCCCACCTCAAGGTGGTATATAGAAGCATCCTCGCCTCTTGTATGGTTGGGTGGATTAATTGGGCGGGCCCAGCCGCCCAGCCTCCCCCCGTCACCCACCCCACCATCTTAAATCCGCCGTCACCGTCTCCACAGGCATCCCCCCGTACGAAAATAAGTCGTCAGCACCCGGGGGGCGGAGCGGATTGCGCGCGATAGCCACTAGCCGGCGGGATTCTGCTGATGCTCGGGGCTGACTGCTCGAGAAGTCAGCGACGATGTCATCTACGCAACTGGGAGGCGCGTGAAAATGACTTTTTGCGCTTAGAAATGGTCTGGAAAGTGGGGGCAAAAATCGTAATGGATAGGTCGCTAGGTATGAAAAATGAGGGTTACGGTAGCAGACGTGCAGGGCTAGGCTATGGATTTTTAGCTCAGGTATTTTCTACGAGTTTTTGATGCGAGATAGCGATGCACAACGCGTAGCAACGCACATGTCCGCCTTGAATGGGCTGCAATACATTACGATAGGATGCCGCGCGTTGCGTGTCGCGACCGGTGAAATTTTTAAGCTAAAAATTTTTAAGCAATCTTTTTTGGGATACTCTCAAAAATAGCCGTAACTTGCATAATAGCATCAATATACTGCCAATTCTTCCCGGAATTTGTAGGGTTACGGCCGTTTTTAATGTGTTTAAAGCTTATCAGTTTGACAGTGGTAGATGTATAAGTGCAGTTTTTTTAATGCTTAAAAGAGACCTGTGAAATTTGCATAGTGATGACATTTTCAAAAATCAAATGGCGTGACCAAAAACACCCAAGGACTTTGCTGTTTTACAAACCCTCATAACTAAAAGGTTGGTCGGCTTTTATGGGGCCCAAAACGGCGAAACTTAGAGCCAAATTCGCCGACTGATTCCCCACTAAACAACAGCATGATAGCCGCCCATTCACAATATTATTCAATTCCAAATAGGTCCCAAATCTTTTTCATGCGTAACGCTAAGCCCGCTGAGCCGCCTTAGCCCCTCGGATAACGCTCGGAAAAGTCACACAAATCTCGCGCTAAAAGCCCGCGTAAGCCCCCTCCACCCTCACTTGGCACCGTTGCCCAAAAAACCTTTCACAATATTGGTATTTTTCACTTTATAAAATTTTCAATTCACCGGAAGCCGTCCTTCACGGATTATCAATTTCGGTGAATGGATGGGGATTTCAGTTGTATACATCATTCGGGGATTTTCGTCAGGCAAATCAAGGCAAAGTCTCCCGAAATTTGGATAAGAATCGAATTGGGGAGGCGGGGGTTTTACGGTGGATTTCGCGCGGGTTACCCCAAAATCCCGAGGTGCAAAGCACGCTATTATAGTCAGCATCATCTCCTCAGATTTTACACTTTCAGATATTGAGATTTTCGAGCCGCCAAATTTCGAAAACTTTTCGAATAAAAAAGTATTCGGCAAAGCGATTTTATCAAATTATTGATTTAATTCCAGAACCTCCAGGAATTGAAATAAAAAATTATCGAATTAAATTTCGGGTTGGAAATCAGACAGCACTCGACAAATAATCACGACAAACTGGACGTAGGATTGAAAACGAATCTAAAATAGACAAAAATGGTAAATTTTCGCCAAAGTTACGCGTCACTTCAGAAGACGCGTGGATGTAGGTTTTTTGGTTTTTTAGGTTCTTCAAAGAAAAATTGAATTAAAAGCTCAGATAGTTTAAGGTGTTACCTTGAATACACCTGCAAATACATTCTATAGCTGTTTTGAGCAGAAGAAAGTATTTTAATGGAAAACCCAAAAAATAAAATCTACTGAACAATGTAACGCAGTTTACATATAGTCAATTTTTAGGTACCAGGGTTGAAAAACCGCCTCGCGGCTTTTCAACCCTGGCCCCGTCCAGGACCTGCGAAAGTCCTCAATTTGCATGTTTCTCCCTAAATTCTAGCAAGAAAAAAGTGAAAAACAGCTCCTCTGTCTCTTTATATAGGCCCTCCCTACTTCCGGCGCATGCAAATTGTCTCCTAACAAAGAGGTTTTTGGAAATCTTTACAAAAACTTATTTTTAATAGCGAAAACAACCGATTTTCCTAAATCTTATATGTGTGCACTCATCTCGGGATCCTTACGCATCTAATGACGTATCATATGTACCTTAAAAGCCTTCACTTGAGGCTGTAGGTGCGGTACATACTTACGGAAGTTGCATGCAAATATATACACACACACACACAGACACTATTTTTTTATATATAGTAGGATAATGCAAAAAAAATTGTCGCAGCTTAATTAACTATGTAAGTTAATTAAAAACAAGCCTGACCCCGGGACCTTCAAAATCACGCTTTGTTTCTTGACCGCCAAATTAATGATCCACTCCCAATTCCGGGGAAAGTCCCCAACAAAAATGATGGCAAGTCTATAGGCCACGGTATGGCTTCCCGCCCGATTTTTTTGTGATGTTAGCCCAAAAATTGGCTTCAAAAGCCAATTGGCGGATTTTTGGCGCCTCCCCCACACAGCGGCACATAAATCCGCCCTCGGGGAGGATTTCTATGGAAGGCAACACAAACAGCGCCTAATTTTCGGGAATCGCCCTGGTCGGGTGCAAAAAATGGACTCATCACCAAATGAGCAGCTAATCCCCCCGAAAATCTTTTAGATGCGCAAATGTGATGATGTCTATGGGGAAGGGTTTGTAGCCTGAAGGGCGATTTATTGGGGGCCTTGAAAGTACGGTATTTTTGGTTACTTGCGCACAGGCATAGCTTTACAGTAGCCCGTCGGTTATTTTCCACTAAAAAATTCGTCAAAATCGCTCAATTTTCTGAAAATTGTAAATGTAAAGCCGAATCGAAGGTGAGCTAGATGAAGCAAACGATAAACCGAGCCCTAGGCCTAACAAGGGGATGGTCTCAGCTCGGAATCGAATTCGGATTTGAAAATTTGCACACTTATAGAGCTCGACGAGACAAATCGATTGGTGTAACTTTCAGCAGCAGATACCCCGAACTAACAAAGTTATAAGCTTTTTTAGATTTTGCGTAGATTTTGCCGAATTTTCGCCATACCTTCATAAGCCCTGCCCCTTCCCCCATCAGCGTGGTCTGGTGGTCTAGTGGCGTGGTACGCGGCGTCTGGGGAATCTATCAAGGGTTCGAACCCGCTCACGATTTTTATTTTTTGCTTTTTGGTCCAAAGATTCCTCTTGGCCTTCCAAAGACCTTTAATGGCTTTTTAGGCAATCACCAGGAACCAGGAAGCGTTGCCAACAATAAAGCAGCTTTGCGAAAAATTTAAAATTTAGTGCCTGTGCTCATGCCTCCTCAAAAAATTTTGGGGAAATTTTCAGAAGGCTGGTAATCTGCTT